CTATTTTGTATATAAAGATATATATTTTTTTCACTACAAAATAGTTAATAGCAATTTTTAAATAAATGCAAAAGAGTAATATAATGAACCCCCATGTACCCACTCCCTGACGACAATCAACTTTGCAAGTTTTGCTACACCTATGCTCTGCCTTTTTCACTAAAACATTTGAAGCCCACTCATTTTTTTTTCAACATTCTAGATCAAATTTTGCCTTAAATGCGTGTTTTCTTGCTTTTTCATAGAAGAGAGTCTAAATTTTGACAACTTTTCAAAAAAATAAAAAATTCATGAGAAAAGTCTACTTCTTTCTAGATCTTGTAATCTCTCACTATAGAAGAACAACAACGAATTGAAGAATAGAGATAAATCTTAAAATTGAAAAGCTAAATTTCAAAAGAAAATGCTATGTCCCACCCTCAGGAATTGCCTCCTTATCAGTTTCTTTATTGTCTTTCTCAGAATTAGGTCACAGTATGTGTCATTTCAACAATCTCTGACAATTAGCTAAATACAAAAATTAATATCCTATCATTTAAGATTTGTATTTGTTGGGGCTGGCCAAAGAGCTCAGTGGATTAAAGTGCCTGCAAAGAGGCACAGGGGCTGGGAGTTTGATCCGTGGGGCAACTGAGACTGGGCATGGTGGCATGCGCCTGTAATCCCAGATCTTGGGAGGCTGCAAACAGGCAGATAACTATGAGTCTGATCTAGTAGTGAGACCCTGAACACCCTGTAGATTCTTCCCTATAATACAAAAAAAAAATGTGTTCTTTAACATGCAAAAGATTTTCTAAATCTCTAACTGTAGTAAGTAGTAACTTAACAGGATTGGAACTGAAGAATAGAGAAGCTGTCTAAGTAAGAATCTACTTCTCTGTTCTTTGAGATTTTGTTTCTTTTTCCTATAAGACAAATAACAACTACTCAATATATTAAGAACATATTTATTTATCCACATACAATATTGTTTGTTCATTCATGCATTTAGGTATTCATCCACAAAATATTTTTTCAGGTCTATAAACACCTTATTACTTAAAGTTTTAAGGATAAGGATACTAGTAGAAGAACCAAAATGCATTTCTGTTATAAAAATGGCTATAAAAAAAGCTAAAAGAACTCCACAGTTTTCTTTGGGAGTCAGGTAGAAATCAGCTGTGCTCTGAAATCTACAGAGTTGAAATGCCAATCTCAAAGTGCATTTGAAAAAAGGCACAGTGGCAGGATCACGGGGTGGGAAATGGGCCTGGCTGGAAGGATCGCTATATGTGTATTTTTATCATCCATGTGTTGGATGAAGCGGAGAGCTGCCAGATAGCTTCTTTTCGACAGCTTGGAGTTACTGTTGGGAACAGATCCATGTATGGAAGTGAAAGCCGAAAGGCACAGATAAGCTGAGATCCAGCTATGCAAACCATGTTTAGAGACACTTAAAGGACAAGTATCTCAGGTCCTTTCTTTCTGGTGCATTTGGAGAAGGCGTCACACTGGATCACTTTTCACATCCAGCCCATGCAGAAGGAGCAGCAAAGGCTTGACAGAGGTAGGTGCAGGGCTTCGGTGGGGAAGCTGATCTAAGGGATCATTTGGGAGTGCTCCAGCTGGAGCCTTAATAGATGTGCTTTGTGGGAAGGCGGGAGATGGTGGTGATGAGAGAGAGAGAGGAGGAAAGGGAGAGAGAGAAGGAGGAGGGAGGGAGGGAGAGAGATGCAGGAAGGAAGGGAGAGTTGGAGCCAGTCACTAACAGGCATTTAAAAGCTTTGCCTTCACAAGGCAAGCTTGCTTGGCTCTGAAATAAAAGCGACAACACAGATTTGCTGCCAAATAAAATCCCTTTGTCCTGGGTTACTTACCTTTCTGAATTTTGTGGCTATAGGTCTCCTTCAGTAATGCCGGCAGCACCTTTTGGTATGGTTCACAGCTTGCGGCAGGATCCTGGTACTTGCTGTGTATTTTAGGGAGGGGTAGGTGGAATATGTCATTTTCCTTACTCGTTCCCCAGAAGGCAGCAAAAAACTCACATGTGTAATTAGCTCTTCCTTAGATATAGGAAGGGTTGCTGGTGAACGACATTATTTTTTTTGGCAGCTGAAATCATTTTTGCAATGTTTCTCAGAAGCTCAGAGGTTGATTACATCCTGCTCAAAGATTCTTGGGCTGTTTTCACAAACATGGGTCTTGCGTAAGTGAAAGTTGCTGAAACCAGCTGTAAGCCTTGAATGTCCTTGGTACCTTTACTCTTTCTTTCTTTTTCTTTCTCTTTCTTTCTTTCTTTCTTTCTTTCTTTCTTTCTTTCTTTCTTCCTTTCTTTTTCTTCTTTCTTTTCCTTTCTGTCTCCCTTTTCTGTCTCTTTTTTTTTCTTTCTCTCCTCTTAAAGACAAAAATTTCACAATTTGAGGAAAAATATTTGCAAATATTATTGCTATCATTTTGTCATGAGTGGTGTTTTAGGAATAGTAAATTGTGCAAAATAGCAAGTTATACCCTTCAGGAGTACAAGGTAAAAGTACGAATATAAAGCAAGACCATCAATATCTATTTCTATATAACTGTATGATATTTTCTAGAAAACTGGTTATATCAAGCAAGTCATATCAATTTTGCTTTGGATTTGCATTCCAGATAATTGCCAAATTGTTTTTATTATATAATTAAAGCAGTTCCACTAAAATTTTAAGAACTAAATTTGAGAACTCTACTAAAACTGAGAACTCCTCCCAAACACTCACCAAAGTCCAGGGGGAAATTACAAGTCATGTCTATAAGATATATGTGTTTGCCAAGATTTAATTAAAACAATACTTATACAAGATAATAGAATTTAAACTTCAAGATTGATGTTGTTGAGGTCAGTGTGTGGATAATTCAAGAAAGTTTTGAACCAGCTCTTCATTTTGTTTAGCTCTTGATCTTCTAATTGAGCTAAAGGATAAGGAAAGAGAAAGGTACTTATGATTCCCATTCCTTGATGACAAATAGGAGGTGGGAAATGGTGAATGAATAACTGCAAGGAAAGAATAAAGATAGTTTGTAATACTAACCAAGAGATGCTTTCAGGATGAGCTCGTATTTGGGAAAGATTAACAGATAGGGAGGAAACGACTGCGCCTGTGGTGGTTTCTTCCAAGCTCTACATGTTCCATCTCACTGAAAAAAAGAAAAAGAAAAAAAAGGTGTCAGGAAGAGAAAACGAAGTTCTGTTTCAATAATCCAGTGGCATTATTAAAGCAATTACATGAAAATGGGGGTTTTTCATCAAGTTATTCCTGTACATGTCTGTTCATCTTGACAATCCATTAGGTGTATAACACGCTACTCTTTCTATTTGTCTATAAGAGGCTATTTTATGTCATTGAAAAAATACTAATATCCTGTGTCTGAGATAAAAGTAACGAGAGAGAAATAAACTATGCTTTCTTTTTTTAAACTAACAGAGACAAGCTGTTGTAACTTTAGCTTAAGTGGGGCAGGCCTACAAAAGGATGGTTTTAAAATACTTAATTAAACACTCTATTCCAGCCAGCTTTCCAAAAGGAGCAGTACGGCAGGAGTGTGTGTTTTTCAATACATACCAGGTTCATATGAATGATGCCAGCAGCATTGGTGAATGGATGCAATACACACATGTCACATCTACAGTTTTCCACTTGCTTAGTGCCAAGTGTATTTCAAATACACGCTCACCATGAGCAGTACCTGTCTCCATTTCTCCTTTAGCAAACAAATACCAGGAGCAGAATACAGGTAACAAAAACGAGTCCTTGCTACTTTAGGTACAGCAGCAGTGGCCCAGGTGCCTGCTCTTTTGACTGGTGAAATCTTAAGCATTTGATAATGACTACACACATAGAAAATATGGAGATTGCATTTTGAGAAAGGAGTCAAAAGCATTGGCTGGCTCACATGAGAATAAAATGGCCGTGGCGCTGTGTTACACTTAAGGGATTCATGGGGCGAATTCACAGTGGCACGGGAAAATGGAGAAATTATAGTTTGTGCACATAGCACAGAGCTCAGCTTTGGAGCATCTGTTCCCATAGTGGGCTCAGACTGAAGAGTCTGTGGGCCTGTTCTCCTGAGCTACCAGGACTAGCAGACAGTGCTTTGAAAGGAAACAAGACTCCTGAATTTGGGAGAGCTACATGACCGGTAAAACAGGGATTTATTTTTCCAAAAACATGAAACTTTGAGCCACAGGAAAGGTCATTAGGTTGAAAGGAAGAATACATTTGATTATTATTTTTTTAAGAAACTAAAATAAAATCTTGCTGAAATGAAAACCATGAGACATTGAGTAGTCCTGGGCAGAACAACAAAGAGTTCAAAAACTTTCAGAAGTATGTTAGACGCATAAGGGTAGGGGAACATAGCAGAGAGGAATTTGAAGACCAGAGAGATTAGGTTTCCCCAAGGTCAGTAAATGGGAGGTAAGAGTCCCTAAAATTCCACAATTCTAGATTTCTGATCAGGAGGGATCTGACCAAACTATACCTCTTTCCACTGAATTTTAAAACGGCATACTTTCAGGTCTCATGAAAAGGCATTGGAGTAAAACTGCATACCAGGGACTTGTTGAAGGTATTTTTAAAGTATGTAAAGTGACAAAAGGGAAGGAGGTTCACATGACTCTTAACCTTGCAGAGTAGAATAGTCCTTCAAGTTGCATTAACTTCGGAAATGAGCCGAGCTGCCTACACACATTCACCGCTTGGGGTAAGTGGTATCCAGCAGCGCCCCTGAGGAATTAATATGCTTATGGGTTAAAAAGATCTTAGTCTTAAAAACCAAGTGTATGGAATTCAAACGTGCAGCCAACAGCCAGTTATTTCTCAATAGAAAGTGTAGTAACCAGTCTAATATATTTTAATGGGGTGAGTTAAAAGACCCTGGGTAGAATATTTTTTGAAAACTGGTACTTTGTCCCAGAAAGGTGATGTAAATTTTGCTTGGAATTCTTATTTAATAGCTTAAGTATATTTATAAAGAGATTTTCTGTATAAAAAAGATTTCTATAGATATTTGGTATCTCTCATTATGTGAATACTATGTGAGTGCTAGCCACAATCATTAAAAAGTCTAAACTATTTGTAGGTAACATCATAAGCTTTAACCACAACTGCTAAGTGAAATTTTATATTGTTTTTGCAAATCACCAAACAATTATCTTGAAAGGGCTCGTTTTAAATTTGGATAACAAACAAGTTCTATTTTCTTATGGTGGTGGTGGTGGTGGTGGTGGGGTGTGTGTGTGTGTGTGTGTATCTATACCTTTTATCTTTCTAGCAAGAATCAAGAACTCTGAAGAGATAGTGCATGGCTTTATGTAGAAGATACATTAGCTCTTCACGTATCAATAGGTATGATTAAAAACCTAACACTAGCCAAAAACTAAGAGGATATGTATGATCCATAGTGGATTCCTTCCATTTATGTAGAAACTGTAGACTGAATTCAGATAACTTTAATGAAGGCTCTCAGAAAAGTGCTGGTAGAGATCAAATAAATATCTGCCTCAGGCTTCAGGTCTGTGCAAGGAAGACTGTTCGAGTCTTGGATAGAGCACTGATCAGGGTGCTCAGGGAGAAGGGGTCCCGGAGTCAAGGCGCTTGGGCTTCATTCTGACCCTTCACCATTGAAACTGTACAGATCACCTAGCTTTTGCAATTCTTATTTCTTTTCCATGTTGAAGGCATTAAGTAGTTCAATGTAATAAGCAGCGAAGGATATTGTCCTTATAAGTAATCTCACATACTCTGAAGAGGCTAAATCATTCTCTTATCACTGTATATGTTAAGCTTTTAAAATAACCTAGTACTAGTGCTGAACATCTGGGGCATTTTTCTTTCTCAGTCTTTGATTGATAATAAACACTGAATTTTCCTCCTTCTCCAAACTCTTATTATGAAAATGAGTCTGATAACTATCATAAGGTTAGATATATAACATAAATAAAGCCCAACATACATTCAGTCATGAATATTTGGAGATCTACAAAAGATTTTCAAAGCAAAGCTGTACTGTAATAGAAGAGAAAGGAATTCAAATTCATTAATAAAAAGTGTCAAATTATTTTCTCAATAGTGTCATTGTTAGGTAAATGAGATAGAAGAATGCACTAAATATTCAGAATAACATGTGAGATTCCAGTCAATAATGATACTATGCAAGAATAGATAAAATTTTATTCTCTTATCTTGCAGCTTGCCTTATGAGAGACAGCATACAGTCACCTAAGGAAATACTTCATGGGCCGTTATCAATTGCAGGCTACTGTTGCATTTCACACAAATAAACAAAATTTTAACAAGCTATTTCTAAACAGCTAATTTTACCATTGATTTGGCCGTATGTGTAAAAATATTAAAGTAGATTCTACGAAACATTAAATACGTTGTTTTTCTTAGTTAAAAAAAAATCCCAGTTCCAGATTTAGACAAATTCATGTTCAAATCTCGCTGGATAAGTTACTAAAAAACTATCTTGATAGTTGTTCTGCTTCTGCTATTTTCTAAGAAAATTACTAAGCAAGTAACATGTGTTAATTTATTAATCCTGGCAATTACTTTATGAGATAATCACCCATTGCACAAATGGGGACAGAGGCACAGAAAGATTAAATAATCTACCCATAGTCACATAGTACACAGACAAGGAAAAAGCTGACATATTAGCTTAGCTCTATGTTACACTATCCAGGGACTGTTTCCTAGTCATTTAAGAATGAAAACAAATAATAAAATTAAACGTTCAAAGTATTTATTATAGCTCTCTCAAGAAAGAAGAGCAATATTATGCTAGTTATTTTTTTCCAGATTACTATTTGTTTAATTTTATGTTTAATGAATAATCATTTGAAGTAGTGTTTCCAGATACCAACTAAATCAGAAATACCATTGACTATGCCTTATATATTAATGGTTCCAAATGGGTGAGCTAACATTTCAGAGACAAAGGTCAAATTATTATGCTATGATTATATCCCATCCTTGTCCTCTCTGCTTATCATATTACTCGTGTTTCAGTAAATGTGTATCAAAATTTTTAATGCGGGTATCCACACTTTTCAATGTTATATAGCAAAAATGGTGTGGATAAAACTGAAAAAAACGAAATTGGACTCATTTAAATTATTGTATTCGGAGACTCATCTCAAATACACGTTGAGCCCATTTCAACTCCAGC